GAATCAGTATTGATAAAGCACAATTCTAAACAAACAAAATACCACTTTTATAGGTTTACTCCATGAAAATCAAACCAGGGTTTTTTGCAGCGCCCTGATACTCTTGGCTGGCGCCCTCTTATCGATTGAACTTTCAAGTCATAAATATATTTCTTAAACCGCACACTTCCAGACAACATGAAATCTTTCTCAAATATATTTTCTCTTTTCTCTGTGAAAACTTCCCAGCAACACCAGTTGACAATGTGGCTGGATACCAAATACACTAAAAAATACACATCCAAAAATATTTCAATGGCGATAGATACATCACTAAAATGGCCCAGAAACCTTTCGATATACCGATATCCACTCCTTTGCCTTGTGTGCTCCCTCTTGTTATTTTTTTCTAGAAAAACCCCTGCAACTATTATGCAAACTAGGAGAATGAATGGTGGATATATATACCTCTACTTGTTAATAAGCAGGTTTATCTAGACCCAATTCCTCTGGTGTACTGATCCCAAGTTCCTCTAAAGCTGGTTTGATTTCTTGTATAACGTATGGATATATCACAGATGCGCTTACTCCTCCCTTGAACTGTACATGTAAGAGAACACAACACATTTACCAGACATATTTCTGTAACATGGTCTACATACAACAAGAAAGCCATAAGCACTGGTTGAATGTCCATCTCTACAATGGTGTTCCAGATATAATATTTATGCAATTTTAATTAGGTTAAAATTGACACTACAAAATTCTGGATACTTTACCTTTTGTTTCTAAGTGTGATAGATGTCACTCATTTTTCATTGGCTACAATACCTTGATCCAAATTTTTTTTATGAAAATATTAAGTTTAAAATAAGTGAATGGTGACAGAAGTTGACTCTGTTGCTCAGAGGATTAATGTAAATCTGTAAGAACATTAGGTTCCTTATTTTAAGGTATAGATGCAGGTTCTTGGGCACTCTGAGTATTTATTTTTTTTTCGCTTTTTCTTACCCAGACAGTCTTGGCTAGATAGTGTTAAAATTTCGGAGCATTATCAATGCTGGAACATACTCTATCGATTTTTAAATATAGGGAATCGAGACACGCGTATGTGATTAAAAGTCCCGAAATTTTGTTTACGTTGTTCTTTGATTGACAAGTCACTGTTGATGTTATATGCAAATGAGTTGCTGGCCTCAGTTACGGTGCGGCGATGTGTAACTTCCTGTCTGCGAGTTACTAGTTACTAGTCTGAGGTTTAACTTACCTATCAACTAGTCTCGCAAACAACAAAAAAACAAACAGACAAGACGTAGACGCTTCCAGCATGCAAGCTGAATGAACCAAACATGCAGTTGTAAATGATAAGTAAACTTTTTACCCTTATCTCGCAATATGTCGACAACTTCTAGGCTGGCAGCTTCCAGTGGTGTACTGTTAAATGTATTTTTTTTTCACACATTTTTTTCTTCGAAGGCATTATACAACTGACTAATTATACATTTTTCGTTTCGCTGTAACAATCACCATGCGGATAGCATTGTGATGCAATGGATAATAACCATTGCTGTGCTGTCATCAATAACTAACTTTTCAGTGGCAAAATACACAAACTTAAAATGCTGGGTTAATTAAAAATAAAAAAATATCCCGGAAATTACAGAAACATCGGCAACGAGATGCTGTTTTTAAACACTGCGGAAAAATCATGCACTCTGCGATGCCATCTTGGTTATTTTAATCGGAAACCCCCTTGTCAACTAGCATGCATCTGTAGCGATGTCGCAAAGTACGTTGTATGGCTGGTACTGAGGCACTCTATGAATGAGGTATTTCCAGAGGTCAGGGTTCGTTTTAATTGTTATCGACCCGTCTTGTCTGCTCGTAGTTGAATGACACCTGTTTCGATTTACAATAGTTGTCTTCCATTTTGACTTTTTCTCACCGGCGTTTGAACGATTGGGTACTAAAACTGCGAATAGCCGTTGTGTAGCAAAACATTACGGCCCATTTCAACCTGGCCGTCTAACTTCACACGGTCCATTTCGCCGGAGATTGTGAAAAACTGCGTCATACAGAGTATTTTTTTAAAGGTTTGAGGAAAGGTAAATTTAGATTCAACCCACCCAATGGCGAACGCAATGTTTATATAACTGTATGAATATCTCATCGGCTTTACGTAATCCATTGTGCCCCTCCCTAAGTGGAAATGATAACACAACACCATGACAGTTTTCACGCAAGGTTTTGACTCAGAGGACGATTTTACGTCCGTTTCCCTCGGTATTGTAAATATTTTTATTCTATTTTTTTATCTCACGATTGAACATTAGCGAGCGTCGGTGTATGATGGATTTTGTATATCAGCATTAACGATTAACGTCACTTTCATAAAACTGGAATTATCTCCGTTTGTGTTTTCTAGTTGGTCAGAGAGATTGAAAATTAATTAGCTCCCACAGTTTTTGGCAGTTTGTCTTGACATTTTCACAATATTTTGACAACATCTCTACGAACAAAATGACGTCTGGGCTTATTTTTAAAGCTTTGGATTCTCGGACAATGACATTCGAAGTGTGAAATACTGACCGGGATTGAATATACGGCACACATCCTGCTTGACAACTTTGTAACATAAAAACAAAACAAACTATATATACGCCTGGATGCCCATATGTTATTAAA